AAGGGAGAGATGCTGGCTCGTCCCCTTCGCATTGACCTAGCTATTTTGGGTGTTACGTAATTTGATATTCTTTTTCAAATTCTGGATATTATGCCACTAATCAAATTTGAGGCAACGGGTATATATAAAGTACCCGTGTGATTTCGCGTGCAGGCAACGTCCTGGCCCAGCCCCGTAGCTTCAGTGAGACGGCCGCATCAAGCCTTCAATCCTGTCTTAAGGATTTGGGACATTTTATAGCAAATGAGTTGAATAGATGACCCAGTTTCTCTTTTAAAAATATAATAGGACAAATACAGGCTTTGGATCAGCAGTGAAGTGTACACGGTGGAAAACTAAATTTTAATCTGTTAAGCTTACCGGCACCAAAAGCTGGTTCTCCCAATAGGTATAAGGAACACGTAGTTTCTCCGAAGATCAAGGATAGAAACAGAAGAGAGAACAACTCTCGGCTAAGTCAAGATGTTATGTGATGGTGCATCAATCCACATTCTCTTCTTCCTTCCTTCCTTCCTTCCTTCCTTCCTTCCTTCCTTCCTTCCTCCTTTTTCTTTCTTTCTTTCTTTCTTTCTTTCTTTCTTTCTTTCTTTCTTTCTTTCTTACTTTCTTACGCTGTCAAGTCGATTCCAGCTTACTGGAATAAACGTATTGGAATATACAGGGGACCCTCTTATCCATGGGATCAGTATCCACGGATTAACTTATCAACGATCTGAAAATATGAAAAGGAAAAAAAATCCACAAAAAAGTCCTATGTATTACCAGTACTGGCTACTAGAGGGAGCCAAAGACCGTACTATGAATACTTGTTGATGAAGGATACATAGGATGGGTCTCTAGTGGCCAATTCTGGTAATGTATATGAAAAAAAAAGTCAAGATGCGGGCCAGGCTGGCCTCCAGTGGGAGGGAGTTCCAGAGTCTAAATGAGCAGCCACAGAGAAGGCCCTCTCCCGTGTGTCCCCACCAAGCGCACCTGACCACCTGACCAGGCTCATAAAGGGAGAGATTACTATTTAGATAGCTTAGACGCTGGTATCTACCACAGAGAAGGCCCTCTCCAGTGTGTGTCCCCACCAAGCGCACCTGATCACCTGACCACCTGAGCAGGCTCATAAAGGGAGAGATGACTATTTAGATAGCTTAGACGCTGGTATCTGATGCAGGAGTACTCGAAAATCACTTCTGTCCCTGTAGCAGTTAATTTCTGAAGAAAGCCGAAACGTTTGTAGGAAGTCACTCTCAGAACCAAAACGAAGGGACCGACATGCCGGCTTTGCTGACCCGCTTCTTCTGTGGCTCTTTTATCCCCCTTAGCCGACAAACTGGATGCAGATTACATCGAACGGTATCTGGGACAGTTGACGCCCATGCAGGAGAGCTGCCTGATCCGACTCCGACAGTGGCTGCAAGAAACGCACAAGGGGAAAGTAAGCACCTCTAGCGGAAGCCCTTCTCTTTGGAGGGAGGAAAACCAGTGGCCCCCGGGGGTGGGGGAGTGGTCCTCATTATTTGAGGACGTAAAGCCGTTTCTTTGTCCCGGCTACCTGTGTATCTCGGCCTTAAGGACTTACCCGTATTTTTCACTCCATGACGCACCTTTCCATAAGACGCACCAATTTTTTAGGAGAAGAAAACAGGAAAATATAATCTGTTTTCTTCGCTCCATAAGACGCACAGACTTTCCACCACCCCCTGTTTTGTGGGGGGGAAAAGTGCGTCTTATGGTGCGAAAAATACGATATTTTTTTTCTTGGTCCACCGTTACGGAAACGGATGAAGTCATTCTGTGTTTGCGTTGGCTTCTCTGAGTTATTACACTGCCGAGGTCTCTGGGAGGAGCCAGAGAAGCGACGCTGATCAGCCACAATGTCAAAATACACTTAATATCATGTAAGGTCCCCCTCGTGCTGCTAAAACGGCCCGGATACCTTGTGGCATAGACGCCCCAGAGACCTCTGAACGCCAAGATGTGCTCTTATGTCCCGCCACCTTTCTGGCCCGGCCAGCGTGGAGTTTTTCAGCCGGTGGTGCTATGGTCGCTGTCCTGGGTGATTCGACCAGGCAGGCAAGCCTTCACTCCCCATGCGCGTCAATGAGCCGTGGGCCATTGGGACCCCGGTGCCGGTTTGCCAGTTATCCTTCCTTGCACCACTTCTGGTAGATACGAACCACTGCCTACCGAGAACAAATCACAAGGCTTTCCATTTATGGAGACGGCTCTGACCCGGTCATCTAGCCATTCGCCGTTTGGCCCTCGTCAAAATCACTCGGACGTTTTCGCTTGTTCAGTTAACCTCTCAGTGCATTTTAATGTTGTCGCTCATCCGAGTAAATCCGTCTACCTCACTCGGTTCTACTGAGTTTGCTGTCCGACGTAGGGATTCTTTCATAGCCAAACTGGTTCTTAGAGGCATTTTTTTCCCCGACTGAACCTCAAGGACATTTTTAAGTACCGTATTTTTCCGTCTATAAGACTATACTTTTGTCTAAAATCTTTAGACTAAAAATTGAGGGTCGTCTTATACATGGAAGTAAGCTGAGGAGAGAACAAAAACAAGTGGAGGGGAAAGCAGGGATCAAAGCGATCCTGCAGCGCTTTGATATCTTTTCCCCCTAAACTTGGTAAGCCCCACTTAGATTTCTTAATTTTGGATTAGAAAGGGGGGGGGCGTCTTATACCATGGAAAAATACGGTGCACTGTTCTTCTCTCTTTGGCTCAGATTCCCAAAGATGAACATATTCTCCGTTTCCTGAGGGCTCGTGACTTCAACATTGACAAGGCGCGAGAGATGCTGTGCCAGTCCCTGACCTGGCGTAAGCAGTACCAAGTGGACTACATTCTGGAAACCTGGAGACCGCCGCCTCTTCTGGAAGAATACTATACGGGTGGTTGGCATTACCAAGACAAAGGTAGGAAGTTCTCTGCAAGCCACTGCGCTGTACCTGGAGGGTTGATGTGTTGTACAGTAGGAACACACACACCCTTATCCGCAGGATCAGTATCCACTGATTCGCTTATCCATGGTTTGGAAATATTGAAAGAAAACTCTCAAGACATGATGAAGTTACCAGAACTGACCACTAGAGAGAGCCAGAGGCCGTACCACCGTATGTTTCCGTGTATAAAACAACACTTTTTCCTAAAATTGTTAGAGGAAAAATTGAGGGTTGTTTTATACACGGAAGGAGGTGAAGGACCTCTCTCGGGTGCCCATTGCTGCTGCCACCTCCAGATCGCCTCTTCCAGTGCCACTGGTGGACTCCCTTTAGGCAGGGGGCAAGGCACCGACGGACGTGAGCTGGAGGTGAGCACCAGGGAGGTCATTACCAGAACTGGCCACCGGATGGAGCCAGAGACCATGCTGTGCATAGTATTCGCTATTAAAATGGCATTCCATGTTTTTCATCATACACGTGGTGGGAACGTGGAACCAGTCCCCCACGGATACAGGGCTCCTGTTGCAGATCCCTCTGTCAGATCTGTCTTTCGTCCAAAGCGATCTGCTGACATCAAAGAGGTGTGGCTGCTCTTCAGGGGTTCCCCCACCCATGTTCCTGCAGAACACCCTCCTTTTTTTGGCAGAGCAAACTCACCTTTCCATCAACGGCTTTGTTCCCTCTTTGTTTTTAAAGACGGCCGGCCGCTCTACATCCTTCGCCTCGGTCAGATGGACACCAAAGGTCTCGTGAAGGCCCTGGGGGAGGAGTCGCTCCTTCGTCATGTGAGAGATGCCGCTATACTACTTTTGCAGATTAGAGAAATGCAGTTTCCCTGGAAAGGCAGATGGCTTTAAGGCAGGGTTGAGGGATGGTCCAAAGGTCCAGGGCCCACAGAAACTCTCTTTCTATCTCTGAAGGGTCTTGCCATCCTCTATCAACCATGTCCCCCTCAGAATATTTTGCTCAAATTGAGACCTGTTTCGTCTGTGAAGGAAGGAAGGAAGGAAGGAAAGAGACCTCTGTCAAGCATGTCCCCCTCAGAATATTTTGCTCCAATTGAGTCCCCTAGAGACCTGTTTCATCTGTGAAGGAAGGAAGGAAGGAAAGAGAGAGGAGTCAAGCATGTCCCCCTCAGAATATTTTGCTCCAATTGAGTCCCCTAGAGACCTGTTTCATCTGTGAAGGAAGGAAGGAAGGAAAGAGAGAGGAGGAAGTTAGAAAGGCAGGAAAAGAGAGAAGGAAGGAAGGAAAGAGGAGGAAGTTAGAAAGGCAGGAAAAGAGAAAGGGAGGAAGGAAGGAAAAGAGAGAGAAGGAAGTTAGAAAAGCAGGAAAAGAGAGAAGGAAGGAAAGAAGGAGGGAAAGAGGAGGAAGTTAGAAAGGCAGGAAAAGAGAGAAGGAAGGAAGGAAGTTAGAAAAGCAGGAAAAGAGGGAAGGAAGGAAGGAAAGAGGAGGAAGTTAGAAAGGCAGGAAAAGAGAGAAGGAAGGAAGGAAAGAGGAGGAAGTTAGAAAGGCAGGAAAAGAGAAAGGGAGGAAGGAAGGAAAAGAGAGAGAAAGAAGTTAGAAAAGCATGAAAAGAGAGAAGGAAGGAAGGAGCTGATGAAGAAAAGGAATGGCTTGTCATTAGTGATTAAGGATATCAGCTTAAAACTTGCCTTCTTGTATTTCTAAGCAGAGGTGGCTGTGAGATATTTAAAGGTATACAACATGTTTATTGCTGTTATTTTTACCGCTGTGCTGTATTAAGAGAGAGAAAGAAGTTAGAAAAGCATGAAAAGAGAGAAGGAAGGAAGGAGCTGATGAAGAAAAGGAATGGCTTGTCATTAGTGATTAAGGATATCAGCTTAAAACTTGCCTTCTTGTATTTCTAAGCAGAGGTGGCTGTGAGATATTTAAAGGTATACAACATGTTTATTGCTGTTATTTTTACCGCTGTGCTGTATTTTCTCACAGCAACTCAAGCTCTTCAAGTGGGGATGACTAGCATCCAAAGGAGCTGATGAAGAAAAGGAATGGCTTGTCATTAGTGATTAAGGATATCAGCTTAAAACTTGCCTTCTTGTATTTCTAAGCAGAGGTGGCTGTGAGATATTTAAAGGTATACAACATGTTTATTGCTGTTATTTTTACCGCTGTGCTGTATTTTCTCACAGCAACTCAAGCTCTTCAAGTGGGGATGACTAGCATCCAATCCAACCATTTACCGCTGGGCTATATTTTCTCACAGTAACTCAACCTCTTCAAGTGGGGATGACTAGCATCCAACCTCCTAAACCCGGAAGGTTTTCTTACATTATACCAACATCAAAATGGGTGGAGAGGAAATCCACTAGATTATTCTAGCAGTGGTGAGAGGCTTGATAAATAAGAATTAAATTGCAATGTAAATTTAATAAGAACTTCCAGATGCGAAGCCAGTAAGCAAGTCCAAGAAACTTAAATTCTTTAGTTCTCCTCTTGACTTCATTTTGCATCTTCGATCCATAGGTCAAGGTTTAGTTTCCATATTTTTCATTCTGAATGTCATCAGTCTCAGATTAGGTGGAAGATATAGCTTATGTTAAAGGCTGACGACTGGAAAGATGAGAAAGATTTACATGCAATACAATAGGATTCCCATGTCGGTGGGATCAGTATCCACATTTTCACTTATCCACGGTCTGAAAATAAAATTTAAAAAACCCCTAGAAGTTTGTATGTTCAGGATGTAGCCACCAAAACTGGCCACTAGAGGGAGCCAGAGACCATGCTATTTTTTTTGTTGAAGGCTACATAACATGATCTCTGGCTCACTCTACTGGCCATTTCTGGTAATGCATGGTGAAAATACTTTTTTCTGGATTTTTTTTTTCTTTAGCTATTATCTGCATTTTTCAGCATCCACGGAAGAGGCTTAGAACTACTCCCTTGCAGATCTGGGTGGCTTACTGTATAATGGGTGGATCCCCTATAGCACTGATGGTTCGGTCAGTTTTGAGGGCCAACCTGGAGAGAAAGGCCGTCCTCTGTCACAAGAATGTCATTCCAGGCAGAATTGTGGAATTTAGGTGGTGCATCCGGGGCGTGTTGTGCTAACGGACGTTCGCCCGTGTTGTCTTCTCAGGTACTGTCCATTAACGAGGAAGGGCAGAGGAGATGTGAGGAGAACACCAACCTCTTTGGCCGCCCGATCACGTGAGTAATCCGTTGAGTTCTGTGCAACCACATAAAACTTGGAGATAAGAGAATTTTATTTTAAAAAATATATTTTTCAAAGAGAGGAGAGTTTTTACAGCTGGTACTGAAGAGGCTTTTTAAAGGGAAATATTTTTTTATATAAAAATATATATCTTTCAGATCCTGGACCTGCCTCGTAGACCTGGAAGGGCTGAACATGCGTCATCTGTGGCGCCCGGGGGTCAAAGCTCTCCTGAGGATTATCGAAGTGGTCGAGGACAACTACCCAGAGACCTTAGGAAGGCTTCTGATCGTACGCGCACCCCGAGTGTTTCCGGTCCTGTGGACTCTGGTGAGTGTGGATGTGGGCAATCTCACGCCCCCTTTGCTATGCCCTTCCGAGCGGCTGGTGATATTTCATTTTATTTAATTTATATACCACCCCGTCAGTGCAGCACACTATTCTGGGCAGTGGACAGCAAAATAAAACCTAACCCTGAAGCAAGAATCTCTAAAACATGAGGCAGGAGGCTTAATCTCCGTTATCAGATAAAAGTGGAACACCAGGGATAAAATCAGATATAAAACCAGGCCAGGATCACAGTGGTCCCCAACCTTGGGCCTCCAGATGTTCTTGGACTACAACTCCCAGAAGCCTTCACCACCACCTCTGCGGGCCAGGATTTCTGGGAGTTGAAGTCCAAGAACATCTGGAGGCCCCAAGGTTGGGGGACCACTGCCCATAGGAGGCTTCTCTGAACAATGGTGGTTTTAGAAACCTCTTATACGTGGGGAGGGCAGAGGCCAGGTGTGCCTCCCCCAGGCCCCTGGCTCCAAGGTGTTGGTGCCACCTCTAAGAAGGCCCTGTTCCTTGTAGATTATTTGTAGGCTTCCCTTGAAGCAACCACTGTGTAGGGGCCCGGCAAGAGGTGTAAATGCAGGAGGACTATTTTGATGGAGCGGAAATAATTAGTTCCTTGCCCTTTTCCCCTTCGTTTCAAGTTCCTGATGCAAGAATGATACTAAAAGGTCTTTGTAATATAGTTGTCTGGCGAGAATTTCTAATAGAAATTCCAATTTGACTCCTCCACCTTGCCTGGGTTGAAACAGTGCAGGATACGCCCCTGGTTGTAAAGGTTCCCCTTGACAATTTTTGTCCAGTCGTGTTCGACTCTAGGGGGCGGTGCTCATCCCCGTTTCCAAGCCATAGAGCCAACATTTGTCCAAAGACAATCTTTCCATGGTCACATGGCCAGTGCGACTTAGACACGGAACGCTGTTACCTTCCCACCGAGGTGGTCCCTATTTATCTACTTGCATTTGCATGCTTTCGAACCGCTAGGTTGGCGGGAGCTGGGACAAGCGACGGGCGCTCACTCCATCACGTGGATTCGATCTTACGACTGCTTGGTCTTCTAACCCAGCAGCACAGGCTTCTGCAGTTTAGCCCGCAGCGCCACCACGTCCCTTTCGCCCCTGAGCGTGGATGAAATGTGGATATAATCTTTTCCTTCTTCCCTTTCGTTCAGTTTCTTTCATGCATTTCTTTTATTTTATGAGTTACGTCCCCCACCTTTCCTCCAGTGAGCTGAATATTATCTGCCTTGCAGGATGGTCCCTGGTCTCGGCTGCCTTCTCTCCTATCTCTCTTAAGGGTTAACTGGGGACATTCTCTCCATGAGATCATCTCTGCCCATAATCCAGATATTAAGACTAAATCCAATTGTAAGTCACAGGTAGGGTGGAATCGGTTGCTAAAGTCAACACAGAGTTGCCGTCCGGGGGCCTCGCCATTACAAGGCAAGTCAGAGGTTTTGGTACCAAGTCCCTAGAAGGGATGTGATGGCGCTGTGGGTTCAACCGCAGAAGCCTCTGTGCTGCAAGGTCAGAAGACCTGCAGTCGTAAGATCGAATCCACGCGATGGAGGGAGCTCCCGTCGCTTGTCCCAGCTCCTACCGACCTAGCAGTTCGAAAGCATGCAAAAATGCGAGTAGATAAATAGGTACCACCTCGGTGGGAAGGTAACGGCGTTCCGTGTCTAAGTCGCACTGGCCACGTGACAACAGAAACGGTCTTCGGACAAAACGCTTGCTCTACGGCTTGGAAATGGAGATGAGCACCGCGCCCTAGAGTCAGACACGACTGGACTAAATGTCAAGGGGAACCTTTACCGCAACCTTTACGCGAGTTTTTTGACCCCAGAAAAAAGGGAGGAGTGCGTGGGTTCTGAGTGGCAAAGTTTATACCGAGCCATTGTTGAGGGGGGACCCCGAGTGGAGTCTGCCTTAAGTCCGACTTGACAGCAAGTCCCATGACTCGTGCCCCCCCCCCATTACAAAACCTGGTCAGAATCTCAGATTCAACCTCCTTTGAAAGCCGAGTGACCAGTTTGGGCTGACCTTTGATGCCTACGTTAAATCCACAGAGACTTGAGCGTCTAAAGGTCTTTCTGCCTGCTTTAATTCGATTTTGTTCTGTTGTGTGCCCGCTTTCAGTTTTTATGATGCCCCTTCAGCCTCTCGGGGAGAGTAGGTGGAACATTTTTTTAGAGGAGAACAATTTCTACATTCATAGTTTTTTTTTCTTTTCAGGTCAGTCCCTTTATCAATGAGAACACCCGACAGAAATTCCTGATTTACAGTGGCAACAATTATCAGGGGCCCGGGGGGCTTGTAGATTACTTGGAGAAAGAGATCGTTCCGGACTTCTTGGGAGGGGAATGTGTGGTAAGTGTGGCGACGGACAGTAAGGCAACCAACGTTTCTTGAGTCGTGACCCCCTTTCGTAATAGCCAAGTCACTTGTGACCGAGCCCCCCCTTGCCACGTTTCCATAGAATGTGTGACCCCCCCCCTCAGAAAACACTTTGCAACCCTCTTGGGGGGTCATGACCCC